TACGCCACTAATCTTTTTTTTTTTTTTAATTCCATTTATTATTAGTTTTTAATTTGACCAGAGAGAGACAAGAGAGAGAGAGAAAAGGAAAGCGAGAAAGCAAGCCACCAGGTCTGGAACTTCAACTGTGGGCAGCTGCGTGGGAATCCAGCCCACCATGCCACCTGCTGGCCCCTACACACTAATCTTAGAAGTCACCTGGACACAGTATTCTGTTACTAGCTACACAAAGGACTGGAAGGAGACGCTAACATTTTTCTGTCTTACTGGTCCACCCATTTCCTTTTCCTCTTCTGACAGGCTTTGTTTTGTTTTGTTTTGTTTTGTTTTGCCAGAGGGTGTGTGCACTCACCCAAGAGACAGAGAGAGACAGTGAGAGGGAAAGTAAAAAGTCACACCCCAAGGGGTATGGCTATCCTTTTCCTCCACTCTCCTCCTGGGATTTTTGGGCACGTACACATATACACATATGCCCGGCATGAGTTTTAAGCTTCTGGGTCTGGGACTTGGCCATGGGGAAGTCCAGCGCCATCAGTACCACGCCACCTGCTGCCCTTCCCAACTGTTTTAAAACTTATTTCTTACATAAGCAAGAGAGACAGAGAGACCAAAAAATATACAGAGACAGCACCCCCAACAAGGTCCTCATGCCACGATCCACCCGCAGTCTCAGCCAGCCCTGGATCATAGCATGCGTGTGCCCGAAGCACTCAGGGAGGTCTCCATACACGAATCTGCAACCCTCACATGGGTGAGCCTCGCACCTCCTTACCCTGTGGCTCTGCCTTCTTTCAACACAGAAAGAGCAGAGTTTGAGGTCAATGCCCCCAGTCAGCAACAATGTTTACTTAGAACTTAATAGCTTTGTTTACATTGTAGATATTTTCCTGTTTTACCTACTATTCATGGCAAGCATACTGGTTTTCCATTGACAGAAAGGACACAAAAAAAGATTCCTTTGAAGATAAATGTATTAAACAAAGAGTGAGTGCATTTAAAGAAAAATACCAAGTAAACAGTATACAGGTGGGAAACTGAGGCGGCAAATATGTGACTATTCACGCCTGAAGTGTGGGGAGCTCCAGGGAATGGACACTCCATCCACACTCCCCTCCCCTGTCCTCTTCCAAAGCGGAGGCCCACCGATCCAGAGGGCTGGCGAGTAGGGCCAAGGGCATTCGGGTCTCCCTTTCTGGGGGGTGGAGCATTACAAGTAAGCCCATCTTGGACAGGTGGTCTCTGTGGACCCCCTCCAGCAAACTGGGAGGTGAAGATGACCAAAGCTGCATTTGGGACACTGCCCTGCCTGGGAGATGCCCCCTTCTGTCGGTACAAATTCGGTTCTCCTTGGCCCAGGCGGACCTCACCATCCAGGGGAAGATCCAAAGGGCTAAGTTGGTCATCTCTGACTCCAGGCAAGAGAGGACCTCCTGCGTGGCTCAGCCAGCTCCTTGTTGCCATTTAGGGGTCAAAGCCACACTTCCCATGAAGTAACACCCCTTTGTCTGGTCTGATTGCCTCCTTGTGTATTTTCCTGGAGGACTTCTCGGGGGCGAGTGGCCAAGGAGAGAGATCTGTGACTCTGGGAAGCTGGATTTCTGCCATTTCCTGCTACTGCAGCTGACACTCACCAACAGCACCCAGCCGTCCTTCAGCACCCACGGGATCCTTCACTCTGACAGTGGGCTCTGAGGCTCGCAGGGAAGGAAGGTGAAGGTGGTTGTTGCTATCCCCTGCCTGTCTGGCTGTGATGTCAGAGGCTTCTGGCAGGGTCTCTGCAACCCTGGGTTTCTGAGCCACCAGCAGCAGCTAAGCAGAAGCATTGTTGCCCCCCAGCGCCCAGCTCTGTCCACACTCAGCCGGCCCACCATCCAGAGGCAGGGCTGAGATCCAGCTGAGAGCCTGACGTTGGAGGCCTGGGAGGAGTGTCTTCTCCCAGCTAGCCTCAGGACCAGCTCTGAGGCTGGAGCCCGGGTCTGCTAGTCCCTGGAGTCTCAAGTGGGCTTCCTCAGGGGTCTCTGGGAGGTCAGCCCTGCACGCCCTGGGGATTCAGAAACCAACGCTGGTCCGGCCTTCCCGCCTCCAGAAAGCTGAGATCTGTTCCAGGGTGACCCGAGGCTGGAGACCCCAGTCAGGCTCCGGGCTCCCTGGCCGCTGTCTCCTGGCCTGGGGGCTTCCAAACTGCATGTGGGCCTCAGGCCTCTGCTCCGGCTCACCCCAGCTCACCAGGCCTGCGGCGGGTCTCTCTTCTACCCAGGGTTGAGGCTTCCAGAAGGTGCTGCGAGGTGGGACTTCAGGAGGGGTCTGGGGAACCAAGGAACTGGGAGGGGAGTGTGGGGCTGGCGGGGCAGGGGGCGCCGTTGCCCGGGCCTCCAGGGTACCCCCAGGGGTGGGAGGATCTGGAGCCCTGTCCATCAGCAGGGGCACCGCAGAGCCGTACCAGTCCTCCGAGCGCTCTCGGGCGGTGCCCGTGGGCTCAATCCACAGCTCTCCTCCCGGGCGCCAGACCAGGGTGGGTGCGCGGAGGCTGGGGTCCGGGCGGAGAGAGCGGCGGAACAGGCGTTCGGCCAGCACAGCTGTCGTGAGGATGAAGAGGGCGGCCAGGGAGGCCAGGGCCAGCATGATGGGGATGCAGGGCCCGCAGGGGAGCTGGGGCCACGACGCATCCAGGGGCCCCGAGGGCTGCTCTGGAGTCGAAGGCATCTGGGAGCCACAGGGGTGAGTAGAGGAGGCAAATGAGCCCCGACGGCACAGCTGAGAGGAGAGAAGCAGCGAGTGACCAAGAAAGCAGACAGGAGCGAGGGGAGCCCAGGCAGGGCCAGGGCAGCGCGCGGGCGCAGGCCCCCTGCAGCTCCAGCCCCTTTCCAGAGCCCCAGTTGCCCTCGGGGCCCAGGGCCTCAGACAGAAAGTGGAGGGCCCGGAGGGCTCCCTTCTTCCTGTCCTGGCCCCTCGGGTCTTGCTCCACCTAGACAGGAAGTGGAGGGTGAGGCACTGAGAGCTCCCCCGTGCCTCCCCTGCATGCGTACCCCGTCTCCGGCCCCCTCTCCGGCCCTGGGTGCTCTTTGCCTCTCACCCCCTCCTTGGAGCAGGTGCCACCGTCCCTGCTCTGCCAGATCTGAGGCGCCACCTCTGCGCCTGTCCCAGCCTCGCTGGCTTTGCCCAGTCTCTGTCACGTCTCTGTCTCTGCCCACCTCTCTCTGTCCTTCAAGTCCCCCATCTTCAGGGGCCTCTGCACCCCTCTCCTCACCTTGAGTGGGTCCTTTGTCAGAGCCGCTCCTCCCTGTGCATGCTGGGAGGCCGCAGGCAACACAGGCCTCGCCTCCTCGGATGCGGGCGGAAGGAGGGGCACCAGCTGTTGCTGGGCAACTGTGCCCCAACTCCTCTGGCCCTCCAGTGTTTCCAGGGCAACCTGGGGGGATGTGGTCACTGCGGTGAGGAGGCGTTTCCTGGCGTAAGGTGGGGCCGGAAATGGGCAGTGGCCTTGTTGCATTTGGTGTCACCCCATAGCTGGGCCCCAGTACTTTTTTTTTTTTAAGTCTATTTAAATATTTATGAAAGGGGGGCTGACAGGACCTCACCATGCCATAATCCCTCCTGCTCCCAGGAGGTGAGCCCGACCCCTCTCTGTTCTGTCTGCCAGGCCTTGCCAAACCCCCTACCATCAACACCCTACACACAAAAAGTCTTTACATTTTTTTAAAGAATTATTTGTTTTATTTACTATTGTTTTTGTTGTTGCTGTAGTTGTTAATTTGACCAGAGAGAGACACAGAGAGGAAGTGAGAAAGCAAGCCTCCAGGTCCAGGACTTGAACCACAGTCAACCCCGTGGGAAGCCAGTACCTTAGCCACCATGCTGCCAACCAGTCCCTGTCTTTTTTTTTTAATAATTATTTTAACTTTATTTATTGATTTAAATTTGACCAGAGAGGGGCAGAGTGAAAGAGAGAGGAAAAGCAAGCTGCCAGGTCTGGAACTCAAACTGCAGTTGGCCATGTGGGAGTTCAACGTCTCTAAGCACCACATCACCTGCCTTTACAATTAAAAAAAATATATATTTTAATTATTATTATTTTTAATTAAAAAAAATTGCTATAGGGCACATGCACTCACCAGAGAAAGACACAGAGAGAGAGAGTGAGAGAGAGAGAAAGTGAGAAAGCGGGCTACCTGGTCTAGGACTTAAACCAATGCTGGCCACATGGGAGTCCAGTGCCTTAAGCGCCATGCCATCTGCCAGCTCCTATCTTTACACTTTTAATGAACAGAAATCTCTTTGAGGGACCAGCAATTGGCGTAATGGACTTCCATGTAGTCGACCATGGTTTGAGTCCTGGACCCGGTGGTTTAAACTTATGCTGGGTGCATGTGCATACGTGCCCAAGATCCCAAGAGGAGAATGGAGGAGAAGGGATTGCGGCATGGCCATCTCCCCTGGGGGGGGGGGGGATTTCTCGCTTTCTGTCTTTCTGTCTCTCCTCTCTGTCTTTCTGGCGAGCACATGCGCCCTATAGCAAAAATCTCTCCAAAAAAAAAAATATATATACTGCTTGGATGTAACATTTTCCTGTAGCCAAAATATGCAAATTCAGTTTAGGGTTGATGGTATGTGTTTTTCCTCAGCAAGTAAGCGGTCCTTCAGGCAGGCCTCCAGACCTGAAAATAGCCAGAACATAACCATTGCTGCCTCCTGACCATAGTGCCATTCAGCTGGCACCCTTGGGGATTCTAGGACCCCTCCTGACACACAAGCACAGGCACGCTCACAGATGTGGGAGCACGCCCACCATGTGCTCCAATCCACATGGGCCTCTCATCTTGAAAATGAGCGGCCGGCCTCATTTTCAGCATGACGTCTCTGCTGGCCCACTTGGCTTGGCTGCCTTTTTCGGAAATTCAGGTCAATCCATCCTGGGTGGTTCCTGATCATTTTTCTTGGAACCAAGCCCAGAAGTAGAGTCATTCCTTAAGAGATCCTGGGTGAATAGATAAGCATCCTTTCCTCCTGGAAGTCTTCCTTGCTTACCCTTTCTACCATCTCTTAGTTTTTGGAGAAATCATGGAAGGCTTCAAGGGAACCAACAAAGATGATCCAGGTCTCTGATATGTGGCAACAATTTAATGTCTCTATGAGAGGGGCAGGTTCTCTGGGTTCAAATCAAATAATCCACCACGCGTTTCAGCCAGTGTAGATCATGGGCCCAGGTTCATGCCTGGTGTACCCGGGGAGGTCTTCAGATGCGAACCGGTCCTCTTCCGCCATGGGTCTGCCTCTCAGGGCATCGCATTTTACCCACTTCACTGGCCTCTAAAATCTCCTTCCTTTTAAGAAAAGAATACTGTTCCATTGTATGAATATACTCCATTTTGCTTATCTATTCATCTGCCAATGGGCGTTTGGGTTGCTGCTACCTCCTTGGCTACTGTGAACAGAGTGAGAGTTACAGTAACCATTAGTGTACAAATACCTCTTCAAGCCGCTGCTGTCCGCTCCTTTGAGTGTAAAGCCATGTGTCACAGAACGACTGGGTCAACCACCGACTACATATACGATGGTGGTCCCATACCATTTTTATTTCTCAGATTATTTATTTATTTATTTTTAGAGAGTGATTTTTGCTAGAGAGCACATGGGTTCACCAAAAAGGAGGAGAGAGAGAGAAAGCAAGAAATCACCCCCCAGAAGGTGGCCAAGCCATAATCTCTTTTCTGCCATTCTTCTCCTGGGATTTTGGGCATATACATGCACATACTCGGTGTGAGTTTCAGGCCTCTGGGTCTGGGATTCAAACCATGGTTGGCCATGTGGGAGTCCAGCGCCTTAACCACTACACCGCCTGCTGGCCTTATTTTTTAGATTTTTTTGTCATAGGACATGTGCACTCTCTGGAGAGAGACAGAGAGAGACAGAGAGCAGGAAAATGAGAACTCATCTCCCCCCCCCGGGGCGATGACCATGCCACAATCCCTTCTCCTCAAGTCTCCTCTGAGGATTCTGGGTACGCACCCACATGTACCTGGGGTGTTTTTCAGGCTGCCAGTTCTGGGACTTGAACTGCAGAATGCCCCCCACATACACATGCACACAAACACAGGTTGTAGGACCTTGGGCATCACCTCCCGTACTTAGGACTCACTCCTGACATCTGCACTTGAGCGAGTCAAACTACCAGTCTCGGATGCCGGTGGGGACTCCATCATACTCCATCCCCAGGCTCTGCCAAGCTCAGCACTGGCAGAAGCCAAGATGGCAGACATTCAGGGCCTCGGGAATGAGCCTGTCTTTAGGCCCTGGACTCTTTCCAGACCTCTGACAGTTTGATACCAGAGACTCACCTCCAATATTTTTCAACCAAATCGGGACTAAGTCAGGTGGTGTGTCACATTCCTGTAATCCCAGCTACTCGGGAGGCAGGAAGACTGGGAGTTCAAAGCCAGCCCAGGCAACATAGAAAGACCCTGTCTCTAAAAAAATAAATAAAATTTAGGGCTAAACTATCTGCATTCAAAGAGATTTCTGGTGTTTTGTTTTGTTTTGTTTTGGTTTTGTTTTGTTTTTTAGGGGTTTTTGCTATAGGGCGTGTGTGCTCGAACCGTAGTTGACTACATGGGAGTCCAACGACATAGCCGTTACACTAACTGCTGGTCACTATTTTTAAAATTTTTAAAAGGTTCGGAGAGAGAGCGAGACAGACACAGTGGGAAGGAAAGTGAAAAATCACCCCCTGGAGGTGGGGATGGTCACGCCACAATCCCTTCTCCTCCATTCTCCTCCTGGGATCTTGGGCAGGTATGCACATGCACCCAGCACGATTTTCAAGCCACCGGGTCTAGGATACGAACCACGGTCGCCCATTTGGGAATCCTGAAACGTAACCACCCCACCATCTGACGGTCTCCGTCCAAGCAATATTAACTATCTACTATGTGCCAGGCTCTGTGCTAGGCATGAGGGATCAACAGTGAACAGACTGGGCCCTGCATTCATGGAATGCATGTGGGAAAACAAATAAGCACCAAGTAATCATAGACCATGTCTTGAGCCCTAGCAACCAATGGGATCCATGCTTTTGCTAATCTTGGCATATTTTAATTAGGTGCCCCTCTTTGCTGTGCGAAATTCTTAGGAAGTCTTCTGATAATCCTGCCTGATGTATTTAGGGAGCAGGCAGACAGTGAAGGAAGCGGAAGCAGGCTTTTCCAGCAGTTGTTGATGGAAATAAACAACTTTGCAAAAATAATTAATTAATGCACTTTATTTTTAAGCACAAATTTGAGTGCCCTAGGGCCGGAGAGGAGGCAAAACATGCCTCTCTCCCCAGGGTGATCAGGTGTAGGGGCTCCTTTAATTTGATTTTGAGAGTGAGAGAACTTAGTGAAGAGCTTTCCATTGGTCTGGCCCCAAAAGGGTGACATGTGGAAGGGTGGAGGAAAGGGCTTGTGACACAGAGAAGGGGGCGTGTATATGGTCACAAGGTATTGTCAGGGACAGGATGTTGGAAGAGTCCTGTTATCAATGAGTCAAAATGATCTGTTCATGACTGTGGGCGTGACTCACCCATCACAGGGATACTATGCCAGGGACAGGATGTAGGAAGATTTTTGTTATCAAGTGGGCCCAAATAGTCTGTTAATATCCATGGGCACGATTCACCCTAGGCCCTCTGGGAGGGATTTTAGAAATAGGAAAAAACAGTCAGACTTCTGTCCTCACAGTGCAGCCCTTCTGAGTGTAAATCTCAATGCCCCAGCTCTAGGCTAGATCGTGTCTAATCAGAAGGTCCAGAGGATGCCAAGCCCAGTGTACCAGGTCCTCAAAGAACAGAGCTTTAGAGGGTGGGGAGCTACTCCCTGGGGTTCTGCTCATTTCAGCCCAAAGGGCTTGCTAATCAGCCCCAGGGACATCTTCATTTCTGCATGCTCCCACCTACCCAATCCGGCCACCCTGTATCCACTGAGCTGAGTAGGTGTAGGGTTGCTCCGCCCACATGGCCACCTGTGGCAGGTCCCATTTCTCTGCTATCGTGCCAATTAGAGAATCATTGAGATCCATCCAGACTGAGACTTTCAGGGCCACCATCTGACCCTACACCTTGTGACACTTGACTGCCCAAGAGATGTTCCCAGGACAAAGGAGGACCCAAGGGCCTACCCCATTTTTGACTACACCTCTGTATAATGGGCCCAACCATGCTCCGGTCCTTAGGCTGATCTGGTGGAGGTGGTTGGTCTCCAGAAAACACTTGTTCTGTATCCTCCACAACCCACTCGGTCATCCGCCTCCTGTCCCATTCAGGAGGTAACCACGGGCCATTAGCCACCTGGGATCCAACTAG